CTTTGACATAGTAACTCTGAGCTTAGGGTAACTTTATTTTGACGCAATATGTTATATTTYAATCCCTCAATTTAGGGTTGTGTCATACCTAATGTCTCAATCTGTTAACATGTATGACATTTTACAAATAATACGATGTTAAAGCGGCCTTAGTTGGGTTAAGATGACTAATTTTAAGTAGAGAATCCAGTCTAATTACAGACACTGACGTACTGAAGAGCTCGGAACCTTTGAAGATCTGAGATAACATGGTTGATTCATTCTTGAGCTTCTCTGCTCAGATTTTTGAACACATTTTCCAATTAATTCAAACTTGACGATATGAATAATTCAATAGACTCACTTTTTGGATGTGACTGTGTCCATTTTCCTCATTTCTGATAAGTATCTCCACTGTTTTGAAACCAATTTTGTTCGTAACATTCCCATCTCTGATAAGCATCTCTACTGTTTTGAAACCAATTTGGTTCTTAACATGCCCATAAACCCCCATTGTCACCGTCTGAAATCGGTTAACAATCTCGCCTACTTCGAATATACATATGTAYGTATATGTATAAGGCTTTTTGAAGTCGAACTAAACTAGGCCCTAAACCAGATGACGGATTGCGTTGATTTTTACCTGATAAATATGTACATACTTTTGTATGTATATGTATCTGTACCTACATAGACATATTGGCGCGCAAAAAACTCTCAACAACATTTGAGAATAAAATGGATATGTGAGTTATTCTAGTACATAAATCTATGTATGTATGTACATATAAAATTTCTATCTAGAATATTCTATGTATGTATGTACAACATGTACATATGTATGTATGCAACATGTATGGAAGTATGTATGCAATATTATGTACAACATAAAAAATCATCAGAAATCAGAACTCCGTTTATAGATGATAACATACATACATACATTCATATACATACATATGTATGTATACAGGTATACATAATAGGTTCTCCAGATCCAGTTGTCTAATTGAAGTACTTTTACATTTATTTCGGGGGTAAATTTGTGCTTACGTGACCAAAAGCACAAATTCGCATATGTATGTATGTACATATCTTCTTTGCCGAAATGCTTGTACCGCCAAATTGAAATAAAAAAAGTTCATTAAATGTATGTATGTATGTATGTATATAAGAGTGTTTGATTGCATCTACATATGTGTTTAGATTCCGGTTCTTCTCTTAAATTCAACACTGAGAAACACTTCGGAAGGAAAGAAGCAGCAAATTTGGAGTTGCTTAAAATATTTATGTACATACATACTTACATACATGTTTACAAAGAAGGTCGTCAAAAGATTTCAACCCAATGATCCAGCAGTTTCGGTGAAATTTTCCTTACCGTCTCTGAAAACAACGTTTCAAGAAAAGCACTAAAATTCTTACAAATACGCTAATATGTACATACATATGTATGTAAATATCTCCGAAATTATTTGGCGGATTAACTGCATACAGACATACACACATATGTATGTGTAAACATATACATATTCCTTATACATATATGTACATATTTATACATACATATGTATGTCAATGCATAACAATACAAATTTTTAAAATCTATTAAAAACTTGTCTTTCCTTTTGATACATAACTGACGATTTTCAAATACTTCAAATCCTTGTTTTGTTATTTTATGATGACAAAGTTCTAACTCAACAACAGCTGATCCATTTTGACACTTTATTAACAATTTCCAGCACGAGTTTGTTGGCACTTCTGAAGAAATATATACATACTTTCTAGTATATTCTGGTAAAATCATGGCTTCTGACTTGTTATGGAAGAAAATAAAATTGTGTAGAGTACATTAATTAGATTAATTATATTTTTTATGTATTTTTTAGATGTACACACATCTTTAACTACATTACTATGTATAAGTTTGTCGTATTTTAATTCTTCACATAGACTCATAAATGCACATATACGTAGTATATTTAAAAATATTTTCTTTATCAAAAAACCGGCAATATTTGCAAAGAGATTTGAAAGGTAAATCGCTAAAAATGAGGAGCACTGAGTAAAATTTTCTCTTTGACTCTCACATAACAACCATTTGTGCTCTTTCGTCAGCAGTAAGCTTATCATATACATATATACGTTCAGTATACAAGTGCAAAGAGTTTTGCTTTGGCACACAAAGAAATTTGGTTGACGCACACAATTGGAAAAATGTAGAAATGTATAGAAAACTGGAGAATCTTCGCTGGTGAGTTGAGCAATGCGCTCTTTCCTTCGTCAGCGGGTATAAAAGCAGCAACAGTTCCTCGTTCCCCTCAGTTGAAAATAAAAAGTCAAAGAGTAAATTTGCATTTAGCAAAGCGAAGTGAAAACCAAAAGAAGTTTTTAACTTTTGTCTTAAATTCAAAAAATCTTGAATATTAATATTTTTGTTTGATTGCAAAGAAATACATAACAAATTCAAAGAAAAATGGCAATTGTTCCACTATTAGCAAACTTGGCTCGTGAACTTGATACTGAATATAGAGACTTGGAGCACTACTGGGACGATGATTTCGGTTTCGGTTTACATCCAATGGAAATTTTCCGACCGTCGCGTCATGGCCATTCGTTAATGCTACAACCACGTCGTCGCCATTATCCATATGATCGTGCACAAGTGTTGGCGCGACGTGCCGCACGTTTGGGCAAGGATACGGCTGAATGTTCATCGTTAATACCCATTGTCGGCAAAGATGGCTTCCAAGTGTGCATGGATGTGTCACAGTTTAAGCCTAACGAATTGACCGTTAAAACCGTGGACAAGACAGTTATTGTGGAGGGTAAACATGAGGAACGTGAAGATGACCATGGCATGATACAGCGACATTTCATACGCAAATATACACTGCCGAAGGATTACGATCCAAAAGATGTAGTGTCTACAATTTCATCGGATGGTGTACTAACAGTGAAAGCACCGCCACCACCAAGTAAGGCTATTAAAGCGAACGAACGCATCGTACAGATACAACAGACGGGGCCGGCTCATTTGAGCGTAAAAGCACCAGAGGAAACAAACAGCGATGGCAAGGCGAAGGAGAATAACGAAAAGAAGTCTGGAAAATAAGTGAATGTATATGTGCAGAAGAAGTTGCGTTACAAAAGCACTATATAAAAAATCATCACACAATTCATTGTCAAGATTTCTGGCCGTTGCCATCCATTTAGAATAAGTTGACTGAAAGCTATCCATCACTTCAACATTTAATGTTTCAGTATTGTATAATAAACTAAAGATGAATTCTTTGTGTTTTTTCCTTTTGTAATTTTACAAAATTTTCGGTGACTACTGTGTAGTAAATACTATGAGAAGCACTCGTTTGTAACCGGTTTTGTCAAATAAATATTTTGTACGTTTTAAGAAATTAAAAGTTGGTATTTCTTTCTATTTTTATGTACATATGTATATTTATAAGTCTCATCATCGTCTAGACAATAGTTGCCACAAAGCTGAGACGAGGTTTTAATTGATAAATGCAAAGCGCTATGTTGCAGTTCCTCAAGATGGAACTTCTTTTGAAAAAAAATCGTAGTGATCTACAGAGAATTGATTTTTTTTTATATTAACCTTAATAGTTAATACATCAAAACTCGAAACTAAATTATTTTATGACAATGGATGTCGCAATCTTGTATTTAGCATTGTTGTTTCCAATTGTTTCTTATTTAATTTTGCTGCTACTATTTCCACATTGGTCAACAACTGCGCAATCTTCAGATGTTCGTCTCATTCATAWATATTTCGGAGGGTTTCCGATTTTTTTTTAATTTCGTTCGTAAATCAGTTGGTTGTTGTTGTAAAAATTATCTAAACCCACTTTGGGTGGGAATGGCGCAAGTTAATCGTCATCGAAAGCACCAAACGGTAGGGTAAATATGCTGTTTTCAGGGAGTCGGACCATGGAGGAAGGGATTTAAGATGAATTGGTTTTATGTGGTTTCCAAAGAGGTAAAAAGGAGCGCGTTGCCACCACAGCCACCACCGTTGTGTGATACAGGAATACACCAATTCTATCCGGCAATGCTTGTTATTTTAGCGATATAACTCTGCTTGGATTGATATGGAAGCCAGTCGCTTTTAATCTCTTTTTTATACCTTGAGCAGGATATATTAAGTTTTCCAAAAAGTTTGTAACACCCAGAAGAAACCAAAGAGACGTTATAAAGTATTTACATATACAAGTGACCAGCATGACTAGCTGAATCGGTTTAGTCATGTCCTTAGAATTGCCTGTTGTATATACATGAACTAGTCCCCCAGTATTTAAGAAATCGTTTGGAAATTCTGCAGACGTTCTGTTTTCTCCATAAAGTTGCCATACAAACTGACTAATCAAGCACAAGTCCTTGTAAGGAAAACTTTTTTATTTGACAATATATTCACAAAAATTTGGTTGGTACTCAAGGCTTCGCTACTATCCTCGAACTTATTGTTGTGATCGGACAACTATAGCATGACTACATAATTACTTCATATCTGCCTATACTTGCCCAAACAGTTAAGAATCAAATAAAATCATCACCAAAGTAAAAATACAACAACCATATACTTGTAATTAAGTTATTCTTTTTTATTTTACACAAAAAATGTTTAAAATTTTTTGCTTTTAAAATTACATTAATAATATAGATATAATTTTACATAGTTTTCCATAGTATGCGATTTATACATACTTAAATTTGTAATATGTAAATGTAATATAATTATCAATTAAATTAATTACAAAATTCCATTTGCTTATGATTTTATACCAGTATTTTGTATACATACTGTACAGAAATCGGAAATGAGAAATAAAGAAGTTCATATACATACATATATTTATATAATTAAGTAAATAAGCTAATAATGTATAGTATTATTACTCGAGGCAGGCGCATTAAATAGAGGAGGAAGAAATTGGCAATTTGAAAAGGTTATTGTGAACAGGTGTTGTAATCTCAAACATGTTCTAGTTAAAAACAAGCGGTTGCTTTGAAGCGCAATTCTAAAATAACGGTTTATTTATGTATTTATACAAAAATATTCTAAGTTTCTTCATATTGTTTTCACTTTTAATTTTTATTTTTTTGTAAGTTTATTATATGTATGTCTGTCTGTGTGTTTGCATTTCCTGCTTATGTATCCACATAGAAAATATATGGATTAAGTGAGCTTTTTATTGACTCCGCTGTACTATATGATACTGTTGTACTGTGAAAAGTTCTGGTAATAATTTCCAACTTTTGCTTGCCATTTACATTTAAAGCATATTGATACTTTAAAAACAAAAAAATATATGTAGGTAAATACATGTGTGTGATTTTCCCAAGTGTATATGTGTGTGTGTAAATGTATGTATGTGTGTTCGATTCGCAAAAAAGTCTAAAAATGACAAATTGTTTAATCACAGTTTTTATTTAGCATTGACTTTTCAAAATCTCAAAAMTTCCTTCATTCAATTTAAATATGTTTTCAAAGTGAAAATTAGAGATTTCGAAAGKAAATGCTTTTAGAAAAAGTTATTTTCAGTGCTGTAATGATGTTTCTTTTGCATTGCACGCAATTGTATGTGGGTTTGTGTTATAAATTACGCTTTTTGAGTGATGAAATTGTACAGAGCAACAGGACAAATCCAATATTTGTTACGATTTCTGATTGAAATGAATACTTTGTAATTTGTTATAAACTATGATTCACTAATGAATAGGAATTTCTGTAARAAAGAATTGTAAGAAATCGTTTTCACTACTTAGATTTTACTAAAGATTTGGCACACTTTTTCAAGTTTTCTCGAATAATTTCACCTTAAAACTGCGGAATTTTGACAATGTGACTTTGTCATGACTTCCTTTGACTACACTTGAGTTGATATTTCATACCTAAATTAAATATTTTTAATCACTTTTTAGCAAGAAGATTCTCTAAATATAGATTTTTGTAGTAAAATTGCTGAAATTTTTATTTATTTTTCCTATATACAGCGTGAGAGCAAAAATATGAGAATATTCTTAAGATTTTTTTTGTAAAATTTTAAAAAAATTGAAATATAAATTGAGCTTACATATATGGAATCAAGCAAAATAAATTACAACGATGAGCTGCACAACTACTCATAATATGTATGTTATAACGGCAGAAAAAGTATGAATTTTCATTCAACTAGTCAACTAAACAAACCGTTCCCACGACAGTCGGGTTTACGTAACTGGTACACAACCGAATTTTTAACCGATCAAAGACGGTTAGCTCGGCAGCATGCTTCAAAATTATTGCAGTGATATTTTCTGTCGATACAGCAACAACAATATACCAAAACAATCAAAAATTAGGAAAAAGTTTATTTCCATGAAATGTCTAGACACTATGAACATTTTCCATAATCTATTAAAAAAAAAATATATTATATAATTTTTCCAAATATCGGATTTGTCCTGCTTTCGCATAAAAGTACAAAACTTATAGCCGCTTAACAAATTTCAAATTTCAAAATTCACATTTCATATTTTTCTTTATTTCTTTCCTAACTGCAGCTTACATATTTATAACGAACAGTCTAAACGCTGTGTTAATTAAGCCTTAGTTCAGCCGACACAAGCGAATATTCAAAAAGTCTCATTCAAGTAAAGTGTAGGTCCACTTAAAAAAAAAAAAGCGAAAAATAAAAAAAAAAACAACGAAAAACAAAAAGACATTAAGCGTGAAAAAATATTTGGACGCAAGTTAACCTTATTTGTTGCACGCACAAAAACTAAAGTCAATAAAAATAAAATACAGTTATATGCGTACACAACAACTTAGAGAGCGTCAACTCAGTACATTTAGTTCCATATTTTCATATAGGTAGGTAGATAGATGCATACACTTCATTTAAGTATTGGACTCGATGAAGTCGGGCAGAATTGCTGTGTTGTTCGCTCATTTTCTGAGCAGATTTTCGCAACTGCCACTCAAATTTGGCAACGATTTAAACATTGGCGTCGACGTGGATTGTCGTCTGGACGTGCCCATACTCGTCGTTGCAGCCGTGCTGGGTATGGCTCTGCTTCTCAGCAAGTCTTGCACATYTGCGCCCACGCCCACCTCATCCACCGTGTGTAGGGACCGGCGTAGAGCGGCCTGTGTCTGCCGCGTCGTTGGCATTGTTACATTTACCGCATAGGCGGCTGGTGGTGACAGCGGTGACGTGGGCAGCTCCATATCCAGTATTGTGTCAGCCGCAGTAGCCGAATTTTGTTTTAGTAGTTGCCGTATACGTTTATTGCCACCTGCCGGTAATGTGCTCCGCATCGAGTATATGGGTTCTATGGGCACTGCTGATGGCAGTAAGACGTCGTTTACTTCGGCGCCCAGCATCGGTTCGCTGTCCGGTCCGATTACCAGTTTTGTGTCCGAGTAGCGACGTAAGTCTTTCGTTAGAAATTTATCCAGCTGTTCACTTTCAGCTTCTACATCCGCTGCACTGGGCGGCGTCAATGTGTTTGCGTGTCGATAACTCTCCGTGGTGGGGTAATCAACCGATGATTCCATGCTTAAACCCATCGAGTCGTTGAGGATGTCGCGATTCTCTACGAATATCGATGAATTGGAATAACGTTTGCTGTGCGGCTTGTAAGCGAAACCGCCCAAACCGTTGGCCACCGCATTGGACACGCCTGAACTGATTGAGGGTGCCTTTTGATCGCCACTACCTGAGAATAGAAGAAAAAGTAATATATTATGTGAAATAATTTGAACAAGTTTTGATTATAAGATTTTATGATCCCTTCCAAACTATAGTTTCTAAAGAAAACCAAAAAAAAAAAAAATAGTTATAGATTTGTGCACAGAAAGTTCAAGTTCTCATTATAGCGTTCTTGTGACTGCCTCTTTGACCAAACGCGAAACTAGAGTTATAGCTCAGCCAAGGTATTTGTCAAATGTTTTTGTTTTCGAAACAGTTTGAGAAATTCGCTTTCTATTTTTACGTCTTGTCTCCATCATTCACAAGAATAAGATGTGTGTAGATTTGAATTCTCATGGAATATTTCAACACTATCCTGCCTTAGCCATCACTTCCATTTTTTTTTTTTTAACTTACCACTAAAACTACTCAATTGTAGCGCATGCTCACGTCCCGTATCCGTAGAAATGCCACCAGTGCTGAGATCTTGACGTGAACCACCGCAAACGTCATTTACCGAACCGCGACTCGAATTCTCAGAATGCTCGAGTACATTGTGTATTGAATCGTGAAATGGTGTCATACTACCCGAACCTTGTGGACACGGACGGAAGGATGATATCTGCGAAACCACATCGTCCAATGCCCAATCACGTTCGTAATTACTTTGCAGCTGTGCACATTCAATATTTGCCGCTACGGCCACCTGTCCCACCTGTTGTTGAGGCGGCAAATGACTGTGGTGATGTGTGGTAGGCAAAACATCCGAATCCGTATCACCGCTCTGTTGCAAACGACGCTGTTCGGCTGGAAGATGATAATGATGCAATGGATGCTGATGTAAGGTCGCGGCACCTTCTATATCCAGGCTGCCAGAAATGCTACCGTTACCACCAGCAGTGGCGGCATAGTTGTAACCATTCGAGGCGGAAGCGCCATTGGCTACGATTTCAACATTTGGACCATCACCGGTGGCGGTGGGCGCATWAATGCTAGATGGATGTGGCTCACAGGAGCCCTCGTGATGAGTGCGATGTTGGACAGCGGGTGATGGTGGCGACATAGCATGCACTTTTTCTGGTGCATTTTGTATGAGCAGTATTCTGTAAGTGATTTAATGTGAACATTTAATAATTTTTCATTTGGTTAGAAAATAAAAATGTCTGAACCTGTTTCTGGCCTTCCAACGATGGCATAGATGCAAATAAGCTTTGCATTGAATATACATGAAGACCACGCCGCCCGTGAGTCCCACTGTTACCACGGCYAGTTTCGTCCAGAAGGGCCAATCTATGGAAAATTAATTAAAAAGTTATTGTCATACATATTTACAACCACATATACGTATGTACAGCAAATGTTTATATTACATCTGATCAAAATTGACCCGGACTGGTCCATTTACTCAACGCGCGCAAATCGAATTGATAAAAAAGTTTTTCTGGATTGACCACATTTTTTTGCTTGCTTGAAATTTTGTGTTCCCGARTGGTATCACGATTACGGAGTCCTTGAAAATATCGCAGAAGTGTTTTGAAGAGTCTATTTTATCACGAAAACAAGTATTTATTGAAASTCGTGAAGTCATCGAAAACTTGACCCGCGCGAGACGTCCATCCAACTCTAATAATAACGGCAACACGTAAAAAGTTTCAGAAAGAATGTCTGAAGATCATCGTTTTGGAAAACGATAAATAGCAGAGGATCTCTATCTCGATGCATAGGAGATGGGATCGATTCAACACATTCTTATTAATTTTTTGGGTATGTAGCGTATCAACGCTAGACTACTASGAAAAGATCTCTGCCTTTTGCAGACACGTCGTCGAATGAAAATCATCAAAATTCATCAAATTAATCATTACTAGTGACGAGTCGTGAGTTTATGAATATGACATCCAACAATCGACCGAATGACGCTGTAAATATGAGCCAAAACCGAAAAAAATCGATGCACASTTGCTGAAAATTTACTCTTTCCTCAGTCCGGGTCARATTTSATCATACAGTATTCTGAATTGCTCACTTACCAATCAGTCCACGCTTCACATCATCAGCCGCACGCTCGATTAACACACAAAGCGACCAAATAACGCATAAAGCGGCGGCGCAATGAAATAATACCGAACAGCAGAGACGTCTTCGCTCAATTCCAGAAATGTCAAGGCTGCGCCACTGTAAAGATATTACAAATTTTATTGCAAATATTATTAAGTTCAGCAAAAAGATTCCATTTCAGTGTTGCAATAAACTAACCTCATTGAATGGTTTGATTTTTGTGTGCATTATAAATGGAAATTTGCATAGTTCGCATGCGTTCGTTTCGGATGCCGTCAGCCATTGCTGGAGACACGCTTGATGGACGTATTTTAAGCTACCCGCACAATAGCAGGGCGTCAATAACGGATTTTGTGGATCGCTCTCACAATGGCAAATGCGACAGATATCGCCGCTACTCTGAGAGGCCTGACTGCTGCCCGATCCAAATCTGCAATAAATAAAAAAAAAAAAGAAAGATGACATTAAAAAATATAATAATTACATCAAATGTGTAAAAAATTTATGGAAATTTTTCACTCGTTGCACGAATGGTAATTTGTATAGCACGTGCAAGAGATTAAAGCTTTTTTTGTTTTTGCTTTTGTTGCACGGCKCCTATCGTAAAAAGTCACGAAAACTCGCTCATGCCCAAAGTGCATGCATATACTCGGATATGTACTGGGGTGTGTCGTTTTTTGGCAACTTTTTTTCGACTAAAAAACAGGCCGAAACTTTTAGAAAATTACAAGATAGATATACGCTTAAAATTAATATAAATTATCTGCATGACGGCCTGGTTCTGCGCGAAATAGTCTCTCAGTTTTCGAGATATGGATCTAAAATTTTGCACACGTTCCTTTCTTTCCAAGAAGCTGGYCATTTGTCGAAACCGCCGCTGTCGAACCACTTTTGGGTGTAGCTGTCATATGGACTGACTGTTTAAAAACAAGTCTTTGTATAGAAAACATTTTTATTCAGCAAGATATCTTCACGAAATTTGGCATGGGTTGTTAGCCTAGGCAATGCTACAATCTCGGAACAAATTGTTCAGATCGGCTCACTATAACGCATAGCTGCAATACAAACTGGCCGACCAAATTCAAGATAAAAAACTTTTTATGTCCTTTTTTGCTATAAGAAATATACCTGTGAAGGGTATTATAGCTTCGCTGCCGCGCAAGTTTACTGTTTTCTTTATTTAGTAGTTTGACATATGAGCATTTCAAAAAGGAATTGAAAAATTATTCAGACAGCAATCGTTGAAAAAAAGGTTTAGGCAACTTGAAATCGGCACACCCTAAATATATACATAAATATAAATAAGCAAGCCAAAATGGTTAATAAATATAATATTTATAAGTATGTATGTATGTAATCGTGCAGGAATGCAAAAWATTTTTGTTTTTTAATTTTGCAAAAGGAAAGCGTTTAACATACCATCGATAAATACTTCAACATTATGCAATATACTATAAGAGTGGTGTGGAACGAGTGAAGTGACATTTAATAATTCCCGTTAAAATGTATTTCCTTATCGGAAGTGGTRTTTYAATCATTTAGTAAACCGAAATGTAYACTATGTAGCTCGGCAAGCGCTGGACCACAAGTGCTTGCGTGTTGCTAAGGTGCTCCCGGTTCGGGCGTGATCACAAGAGCGAAAGTAAGCTTCTTCGCATAGARCGTGGTGTACTAGTTATTTCTATTCAGGCTGGTTAAGGTTTATTCGKTTTATCGGTCGAAATTGGCTGGAAGTTTTTGGTGGTTTGGGGTAGAATCACCATAGCACCTTTTTTCTGGACTGTCCCGCCTTATTATGCCCGATATAGCGCCACTGCAGGATATAGTTGCCAAACAAAATCACTATTAAAATCAATATATGGATCTTTCTATACTCCTTCTTGCTGTAAGAAATGTRGCTGTGAAGGATATTAGGTGTTTCTAATTTATATTGATTTGAAAAACATAAGACTTGAGGCAAAATACCATTATTTATATATGTACGTAAGGAAGCTGGACTCGAAATTCTTCAACAAATATGGAAGATTTGCGCGCATGTGCCAGAGGACATGCTAGTGCAAGGTTGCATCGCAAATCCTGTCAGTGCAGCGATGCAATCTGTTCGATTTGCTATTCACTAACTAATTTATTATTTTTTATAATGGCTAATACTTGCCGGTAGGCGTAGACACATGGAAAACATTTGTTATTGTATTGCTATGAAAAATCATTGTTATTTCTGACATAACTGCAATTACTTTGTATTATATAAACAAACCGATTTCTGATAACACTCATTGCGTTTATCATTTCGTTTTAAAGTATCACTATACTCGTGGCATAATATCAGAAGAGCCGACAATTCAAAAATTTGTTTAGCCCCTCTCACCCAATGCTGACCACTTGATGAAAATAGTTCGTTATTCAACTGTCTCTAATTATTTAGTGTTATATACAATGTAGCCCACACACATACATACATATGCACACACATATGTTCGTATGAATGCCTAATTTATTACGAAACAAAATTACGTGTAAAAAACACGTACCTATCAACAGTTGAACTGTCAAGATTCATTCGTGCAATTGCTGTACATAAACAAACACACACACACACACACATACGCGCATACAAAGCACATAATTATATACGGCTCTTAAAATTGAGTGCATTTATTTATTTGCATGCTAGTTTTATAAGTTCGAATGGAATTTTATTGAACAAAGTCAGCACTATTCAGCTGGGAAATTATCAGGCGACCCACCCATATGATGTTTGATTTACATTTCCGCGATTTTATAGTGAAAACTATTTTTCTGCAAAAGCTGGAAATTCTAAAATAAATTTTTATTCAAAATGTTTTCATAATAAAATAAATTAAAAATACAAAATTTATTTAATTGCATAAAAATTCGATTTTGTCCATCCATATAATATTTACTAATGAACATACATACATAYRTAYRTATATACTTAGGGYTTTCACATGTCTCTTAAAGTTATAAGTTATAACGATTCGAWAACATAGTAYTGAGAAKTGTAAATGTGTARACTCATYTTTGTWTGTAATCCAACAACAAATTTTTTTTTTAACAAGTGTAAAAATGTAAAATTTTACGACTTTACGATTTAAGACAGGTTGTGAATACCCCAACTATATATCTTTAGTGACGTATTTTTAGGAATTCTATACAAGTTGCAAGTTTATTTATAAACGAGTCTCAGCAATTCGTTTGATGAACGAGCAATACGCACTTTAGTGCCGACAATTTACAAATAAAAATAATTAATGCTTTTAGGTGCAAATAATCAATCAATTTTTATTACAATTTATTTGTTGACGACACTATTTGTTTTCATTTAATATTGTTTCATGTCATCCGCATATTTTGTGTAAATGCGTATACTATATATGTATGTACATATGTACATATGATTACGTAGGATTTTAGTAGCCTGAATAAAGAAGAGCTGTGATACCAACTGATCGACCGAAATGAAATTAATATATGGAAAACGTTTTTATTTGACAAATTATTTTTCTAAATTTTGACATATAGTATTATCTAGCACCACTATAAGCTTCGCGGCATATAGCTGACATTTAGTGCGCGCGCAAGGTCCTTCTAGCCAAGGGTAAATAGTAAGAGGTCTAAGGAATTCTACGCTCTCAGTATTTTGAAAAAGTGTGGGATGGCACAAACCATAGTTTTCGTATATCGAGCATACCACACTTTTCTCACAATAACAAGTATTTATCGGTCAATATTACTGTCAGTTTGTATTAAGAATTATTTTTCACTTTTTAGCTTAATATGCTTTATTATTATTACACCCAGAATAAATTGTCAAGGCTAGGTCTCTTTAGGCGGTGCCAACCCCTTAAATRGACAGATAAATAAATAAGTGAGAACTGTACCGCGACCTAAGGTCTATTGTGCGCTCTTCTAATTMACAAGGACTCACTTAGCCCCAGGATATTCATACGATTGTAATAGACTGTTCAGCCGTTGTATACACTTCTGCAGCGGTAGCGATTCGTTCCCGTACGCAGAGATCGTTTTAAGTGCCATTTGACTGTCGCTGAGTATGACTATACGTTAAGTGCGTGATATGCGACTCCCTTACCAATTCTCTCCGACGTTTTCGAGTCGTCGGTGTACCACTTGATTGTACTATACCTAAGCAGTAGGTCGARACAGGAATCATTCCATTCARCMTTGYTGCTAATGTAGACTTGGGACTCTTAAAATTWCCATTACCATTTTGCTGTCAGTCGCTTGAGACAAGAGGCAGTGATATTTTGCCATTTAAGTCCTTTAATACGCCGAAAAGAKATTATCTTAACCCTGCCAAACCCTACTGCTTTCATTTGAAGCAGTGTGTGTTTGGTTACCTGATCGATAACTTGGTGAAGCGGTGCGCTTGGCTCCCCACACGCAGATGCAGGCGAGTCGTAGGAGCTTCGATAGTTGAAGTCCTGCAATGCTTTCGAGGCAAAAGCCATCGCCCCATACGCAATAGTCCGTCGCACGATCATGATGTACAACCACCTAACAATCCTTGGCTTGCAGCCCTAGGATTTACTAGCTAGTCGAATGCAGAACAAAGGTCCTTTACTAGCTTTCAACAAGCTGCTTTGACCATATTAGTCATATCGATCTCTCTGTCTCCAATTTGAGAATTGCGTCTTGTAAACGGAACGATGATCGTTTTTGAGGGGTTGATATGCAGTCCAATCCTAGTGCACACTCTCCCTTAGCCAGTCCCAATCCCCTTTGTACGATATCGGTGAGAGTGTCCTCAAATTTTCCTCTTGCTATAAAGTAATGTCGTCCGCATATCCTTGATAGGGGATTCCATTGTTATTTAGCAAAACGAGTAGTTCGTTCACGACAAGGCTCCATGACAGGGTGAATACCACTTCACACTTTGGGCAGCCGCTTATAGAGCAGAGCCGAATTCTGGTATTCCCTAATGTGGTTTCAGCTATTCTAGTTTTCCGTACGGCTTTTATCCATCTGCGCAACCCCTTAATTAGATGACTCATAGTGGACTGAAAAACTTACACGATAATCATATAAAATAAACCGTACCTTGTGGCACATGTCGTATGAGTAACATTTTCGTATTGTTCATTTAAAAATGTGTCGCACACGAAATGTATTGAAGCGATAGAAAACTATGAAGACATTAAAMKTTATGCTAATTTCAACCTAATCACTAATATTGATTTGAGTGTTTTTCTAAAAATCTTACGACTTCTTGTTAACTGGTTGCATGTTTTTTTTACAAATCTTCCCTACCCTTTCGAAGTACTGATTTCACTTAATTTTCAACTTCTTTACAAAAAGTTCAAGTTTTCTGTTCTTTTAACGACTTAAAAAATAATAATAGCAATTTTGTAAGCGTACGCTAACCAAATCAATCAAATACCTGCACCTATT